CACAAATATTGCATAATATTTAGTTAAGCCTCCCCTGACAAGGATTACTGCACTCGGCCTCTTTCTATAACTTTTAACGTGGTTGGAGAACATTTGTAAAGGGATCTTAGAGGACTCTTCCATACAGTATAATTCCAGTCCCTTAATATTCTTGGGCTTATGCTGGTGGACTGCCTTCAGTCATACTACAGACTCTCAATGGGGCTCGAATATTGAGACGAGGATTGCCATGCAAAGCCTTGATTTTCTGTTCTTGCAACCATTTCTGTGTCGATGTAGATGTGTGCTTAGTAGTGGTGGCTGGTGATAAAAAATTTGGGGGAGCCAAACTGAATTTTTTCAAATTTAAAATCTAAGCCTGTCCTTGATCATTTGCCGACTGCTGAATTTGCAAATTGAGTCGGTCCAGTCCAAGCTCCTTTATCCTTTTTTTTCTTCCAGGGTGTTTTTGTAAGGAAATAACGAAATTTTCTTTGATTTCTGTGGNCAAATTGAGTCGGTCCAGTCCAAGCTCCTTTATCCTTTTTTTTCTTCCAGGGTGTTTTTGTAAGGAAATAACGAAATTTTCTTTGATTTCTGTGGTCCTTGAAGTTGCCATTTCCTGAAACTACCAGTCAGCTATCTTGCTAAGGATCACAAGTGACAATTCCAGTTTGCTGCCAATGAAAGTGGGAGTGTTTGGGCTGCAGAGAGATGTGCCCCATGGAAAATCTGAATAAAGCAATTAGAGAGCAGCCACAGGTCCACCTACAGCAAAACAGCCCCAGAGCATCCGTGATCCAGCAGCGGGAACCAGGAGCTTCTCCTTGTGAGTGGTCAACCTTTGTTCACCAAGCGTGTCTATGGTGTGCATGACCAAAAAGCTCAACCATCAGACCACAACATACATTTCCAGTTGTAATTACGACACCTGGCATTTTGTGGCATTCTCTCAGGAATGGCTTCTTTCAAGAAATTCTTCCAATATTTCATTTGACAATCTATTTTGAAATATTAAAGCCCCAAGATTCAAGCAAACAATACAGGTCAGAAACTGTGATTTGGGCTAGTATGCTGATAAGTCCCCTTCCAGGTAAATTTCCAACTGTTCCATGCTCAGTTTTTATATAATTGCCCTGATTGTGCTCAGTGGTGTTTTTTGTCTAACAATTTCTCAATCTTTCTATAGCTGTCACCTAATTTATAAACATTAGCAACCTTTAATCTCACTTGAGTCTTATGATTTATCAATGTTGATGAATGACAAAGGGATTTTGTGTGTGACTGTCACGCCCGGCTCGTCCGATCCTCCTGTGTGCCACGCCCCCCTCGTTACCTCGTGTTAATTCCCGATTGTGATCACCTGTTGGCTGTTATTTTCGGCTTGTCCTGTGTATTTAGTCTGCGTCTGAGTCCGTTTTCCCTAGGTCTGTCATTAACGTGAGTTTGGCGTGTGCTTCCCTGTGTCCTGTCTACCTTAATAAACCCCGTTCTACTCATATTTTACGGCTCTCTCGCCTGCTTCCCCGCTCGCCTGCACGCAGTCATCACAGTGACGTCATTTGTGTACCCCAGGGAAACAGGGAATGGCCATATACAACGCATGACTTCTTTTGCAACAGGAGCAATACAAAGACATTTTTTTCACTAAGGATGTAAATATCTTTGCTGTTAGTTAAGGTATTCTTCAGTGATGCCAACAATTTGGCTCCCCATGCGCATGAAAGATTGCTCAATTGTGAATGCAGTGGTACCTCAGAACTCCGGATCGAATCCTAAAAAGTTTGAGTTGTGATCGAATTTTCACCATAAGAAATAATGGAAACCAATTAATTGGTAACAGGTGTTGTGCCCTAATCTGCCCCCCTGCCACGGATTGCCTCCCCTGACGTCATTGCTCCATTTAAAGGCAAAGTCGCTTCTCCAGCGCAGTAGAAACGAACGCTCGCTGTAAATTCATTTTCTTGCCCTAAACCGACTGAATAAACTCAAATTAGTTGTTTATTATGCCATTTTACAATCAAACCTTAAGTTATCATTCACAACCTCCTNATTTTCTTGCCCTAAACCGACTGAATAAACTCAAATTAGTTGTTTATTATGCCATTTTACAATCAAACCTTAAGTTATCATTCACAACCTCCTGTAATTCGTCACAAATGTGACGGTAACTTTTTCATTAAGACGCTACAGTAATGCTTTTCTTCTCGACAATGCTTTTCTTCTCGACAATGCTCGTCTGTGCAAATAGTCTCTTTCAGTCGCAAGAAAGGACTGATTTAGTTGAAAGATATTCTTGACACTTTGTTGAATCCGTTCTGCCGAAATTTTTCTTCTATTCTGTCGTCATATAATATAATACGGCGTTTAACTTCATACTCAGGCACTGTCACGCCTGGAAATGATCTAACATCGATCCACAAAACAAAAGTAATCAAAAGTCACCAAAATTTCACTACTCACTCTAAACCCCGTGTGTACATGACAGCTAACAAGTCGTATTGCAAATCGTCCATCCATAAGGAAAAGACTCTAGAGGGGGGGCATTCTATAGCAGGTCACCTTGCCACAGAATGCCCCCCCTGTCTAACTCTGGCTGGGAAA